CCTCGGGGATCAGCCGCTCGGCAATCACGCGGCCCATGCGCTGGTTGGCGGTCGGCACGTCGTCGCCGTCGTCGTCGCCATCCGGGCCGCCGGGCCGGCAGAGGTAGTCGCGGCAGCGGCCGACGGCGGCGTAGACGGCGTCGCGCGTCAGGACGTCGTCGAGCGCGTCCGGCGAGAGGGCCGCCGTGGCCTCGAGGTGCTTCCACAGGTGCTCGCCGACGACGCCGATGGGCTTGGTGTGCTGCGCCAGCACCATGAGGGTGCGCTCGGCGGCGGGCCGGATGTCGAGTTCGTAGTTTTCCTGCTCCTCGCCCACGCTCCACTCCTCGGGGTCGGCCTGCCAGCGCTCGAGGTCGTCGGCGTTGAGGCGCATGAGCTTGCGCACGAGGACGTCGGTGGCCTCGATGGCAAACGGCTGCGAGCCAAAGACGCCGGCCTCGGGCTTGCCCTTCCACTCTACGAGCGACTTTTTCAAGAGCACCAGCGCCTGGACGACAAAGCGCGGCGGGTAGTCGATCAGCGCGCCGTGGTCGGCGTACCGGTCGCGCGGTACCGCCAGGCTGTCGGGCGACACGTCCTTGGCCTGGACCCAGTACCAGCCGACGACGTCGGTCCAGCCGTCCCAGAAGGCGGCCTTGCCCTTGTCCTTTTGGATGAGCGACAGGAAGAACTTGCCAAACGAGTGCAGGTGCTTGGTCAGGGCGGCCAGCAGCGATGTCCCGCCGGCCATCGACGACGACGACGACGACGACGGCAAAGACGAAGACGAGGTGGAGGAGGAGCGCAGCAAGCCAAGGTAGGCGAGGCGCGTGTCCTTGAGCGTCTGGAGGGCGTGGGGCGTGGAGCGGAAGAAGGCGAGGGCGCGGTTTTCGCTGTTGCCGCCCTCGGCCGAGGCGGTGCGCGAGATCATGCCCATGTCGGCGACGGCGAGGCGGGAGATGGCCTTGAGCAGAAGGTGGCTGGTGCGCACCTGCTCGGCGCGCAGCGGGGCCGATGCCCACGCCGAGAGCGAGGCGAGGTCGGCGGGCGCAGCCGAGGTCGTCGTCGACGTCGAGGGAGACGCCGATGACGACGCGGATGGAGATGCTCGCGGCCGAGGGAGGCTAAAGGTCTCGGCAAAGTACTGCTGGAAGATGGGATGGAGGCTGGGGAGGAGCTCGCGCGAGAGCTCAGTCATGCGCATCTTTCCGGCGAGGATCTTGACCGACTCGAGCTCCTTGAGCGTCTTTGCGCACACGTCTGCGGCGCGCATGAGGATGGTGGTGTTGAGCAGCCTTGCGCTGTGGGATGCCGGGTCCTCTGTCGACGGGGCAAGGGGCGCCGGGCCGAGGCGCTCGAGGGCGGCGTGGGCGTCGACCATGGCGCGCTGGAGGTTGGTGAAGAGGTCGGGCCAGTCTCGCGGGTAGTCGTTGCGGGCGATTCTGGATATGGCGACGGCGGCCTGGAGGGCTATTGTTCGGTCTGGCTCGTAGAGGCACTGGAAGAGGGCGTGTCGGATCTGGTGCTTGACGTCTGCGGGGATGGTGACGGTGACGCGCGCGACGACGCGGGAGCGCCAGAACTTGTCGACGCCGTTCTTGAAGCGGATGATGGCGAGGGTGCGGATGGCATGGTGTGCGGTGGTGGCGGTGGCGGTGGCATCTGCAGTGCTATGATCGCGGTCAAAGGCAATCTGGAGGAGGATGAGCCAGAAGCGGGGTTCCCTCTCCCACTCCTCGAGCTGCTGGTTGGCGCGGCTGAGCTGGGCCGGATCCTGGGAGACGGCGAGGGTGAGGACCTGTACGACGGCCTGCACGGCGGCGGCGGCGTCTGACATGGCGGTCCAGGAAGCGGGTGCGCGCCGTTGAGCGAAGGTGGCTGGGGCGGGAGAGGTGGTGGTGGTGGTGATTGATGTAGGGTGCGAAAGCAGGGAATCGAGGGGGATGGGCGAGACGCGTACGTTCTTCTCGCCCGTCGACGTCCGTCTGGCTGCCAGCCAGCCAGCCAACCAGTCGACCCTGGCTCGGCTTGGCTTGACTTGCCAGCCAGACGAGGCAGGACAGGCACAGGTAGGCACAGGCACAGGGCAGCCTCAGTCTCGGCTCAGACGCCCGACGACAAAGGGCGGTCCGACCGCCTCCACTTTGCACCTCGTTGTTGGCTCTCGGCCACCACCACCCTCTGCCTCTAACCTCGCGCGGCCATCCCCTCGATCCGCTCTCCATCGGCCCTCGCTCTGCCACATCCCAAGCCAACATGTGATCCGACCCTCAGCCATGGCCCTCAACGCCTACCACATCAACGACGACGACCCATTCGATCACGTCGCCAGCGGTCGCGCCCCGCCTCGACTCCGCGATGCAACCCCGCCCGCCACACAGCGCCGCCCCGGTCTGGGCCACGCTCGCCACGACGCAAGCCAAAACGACTGGGCCTGGAGCACCCTCAGCACCGGCGAGTCGACCGCAGCAGCAGCTCAGAGGATGAGGACCTGGTTCGTCGGCGCAACCGCACTCAGCGACCCGTCCCTGCGCAACGCCCCCGCCAGTGTCACCGACGCCGCCGCAGCCCTCGTCCACGATCCCGTCCCTGCACCAGTCACGCCGGTATCCCCGCAGCTCGAAACCATGTCCCAGCTCTACGCTGCCCTCACCCGCGACCTCGAAACGCCCGACAGCGCCACCGCCACTGCTCCTCCTGCGCCTGCCACCACCCGTCGGCCACCACCGCGAGCCGCCCCGGTCGCTGCACCGCATGCCGCCCGCGTCAAGGCTGCCTCGCGCCAGCAGAGCTCGGACTGGTTCGTATCAAAGGCCCTGGCGAGGCTTCAACAGCAGAAGGCAAGCGCCGCGCAGGCGAGTGCCATCGCCCAATCGACGGGCGACAATGGCGACAGCGACGGCGACCGGCACGCAAGCACATCGCCGACGCGGCAGACCTGCCCCTGCCCCGGCTGCGGTGAACCGATCCCGCTGAATGCCTCGCCCAGCGACCTCGCCCTGCACAGGCAGAGCATCGCCCATCGCCTCGGCCTCAACGCGCCCGTCTCGTCGGCATCGGCGTCGGCATCCGAGGCGGCCACCCCTGTCGTGTCTTGCGCCGAAACGCCGCTCGACCGCAGCCGCTCGCCCTCTCGTGCCGTCTCCCCAGCTCACGATACCGGCGGCGACGGACAGGTGGGAAGCGAGAACAAGGATGACAGCCAGGCTGCTGCCTCGGCCCGCAACCACCGCGGCATCTCGTCGCGATGGAGAAAGTTGCGCTCGGACAACGTCGGCTACAGCCTTCTTGCCCGCATGGGCTGGAAGGAGGGCATGGGACTCGGCATCGAAGAATGGAAGTGGCAGCAGCTCGCCAAGGCCAAGCGGCGCCAGGCCGCCGAGGCTGCGTTGAAGCAGCGCCGCGCTTCCTCTGCCACGCGGGCCGAGCCCGGTGTCGGCGTTGTCGACAGCATCCCCAGCGACGGCCAGAGCGCCAGCCGCGCTATCGTCGTACTGTCCAGCGACGACGACGAGGGTCGCTGCGATGCCATCGACGTGGACATGGACTCGCCGCGAGAGCAGCAAGAGGTTCATCAGCCGGGCGGGACTTCGCAGCTGGGTCGCGTCGATTGGTGGGACAATCTGCCCCGCGCCTCGGGCGTGGCGGACGACGGCTACCAGTTCGGGGATGACGCCGATCACGTCTTTGACGGTCCGTCCTCGCCGCCGCCGTTGTCGCCCAGCGCGCTCGCCGACGGAGACTCGATCGACATGTCGGCCAGGCCCTCGACCATGACGGCGCCGATCGACATCGATCTTAAGACGGATCGACGCGGTCTCGGCATGCGGCCCAGGGGCACACGGCGTAGCCGCACGGCGGAAGGCGAGGTCGAGATCCGCCGGCGGGCGTACGGCGACGACGATGACGAAGGCCAGCCAGCCCGACAGCGGAGCCGTACAAGGAGCGGAGGGGAGCCGTCGAGAAAAGGCGACAGGCCCGACGGCTCGCAGAGGATGACCAAGGCCAGGAGGAAGAGGGACGAGGCCAGGAGAAAGGCCGAGTGGCTGGCCGTGCGTGCCAGTCTGTCCTGAGGGCGCGCGCGTGTGCGTGTGCGTGCATGCGGCCGGAAGTCGAGCTCGATCGGCTCTCTCTCTGTCTGAATGTCAGTGCGTCTGCCTGTCCGTCGATACGGCTCCTAAGAGACTGCGTCGATGCGGTCGTGTGGCTAGGCATGCGAGTGAGATGGGCTGCGCTGTCGTCGTCGGGCGAGGAGGAGGAAGCCAGATGGGGGAGGCGGAGGTGGTCGAGTGTGGCCTGCTGCGCGGCTGGGCCGTGGTTTTTCGGGATCCGGGCAAAAAGGTGGAGCTGCCTGTCGGTCGATCAGCCCGCCCCCCGCGCCGCCTTCTTCCACCACCACCACCACCACCACCACCGATACAACCACCATCATCGCGCTCTGCTACCTTCCTCACCTCTAGCCCATCTCTGCACTTCGAACAAGCGGATCCAAGCACTCTGTCACCCAAAGCCGTCTTCCTCCCAGCCCTCTCCGGAGTCCCCCCTTGAGCGTGCAGGATGTCGAAAGTAGGCCAGCCGGAACTGAAGCGCTTCCTCGACAAGCGGGTGGCGGTCAACATCCAGGGCGGGCGCAAGATCAACGGCACGCTGCGCGGCTTCGACATGTTTCTCAACCTCGTCGTCGACGATGCCGTCGAACAGGTCCACCCGGACTCTGGCAACGTAAACGCCTGGCAGGATGGAGAGAGTTGTGGCACCGTCGTCAGTACCACCCTTCCCCCTCCCGTCCTTCCAGCGCCCCTTCTTTGTGAGGACGAGTCTTCTGGCGTTTTCGGTCGTGTGCTGACATCGCTGCGTGACTTGATGTCGTCCCTCCCCTTGCCTCTTCTGCATCCACCTGTTTTGTGGTTGGAATGGACAGGTCGTCCGTGGTAACAGCGTAACGTCACTCGAGGCGCTCGAATACGTCAAGACGCGATAGGAGGAATCGGCAGCCACGACGAATCTCAACAGCGGCTCTGCGTGCACACGCCGAGTATGGTCCCAGCACTGTCGGTACGGCCGTCCTTTTGCCGGCACGATCCGGCCTCGGTCAAGGCATCTTCCAGCCTCCCTCGCACGATGCTGTCCATGACGAATTGAAGGAACGACTCGGACCTCGCTCCTCCCTCGCATTCGCACATCGAGCGCAGGCAGTGCAGGCGTGGATCCAAGCGACGGCCGACGACGACCCACAACCCGGCACGCGCCCATCACGATCCACACACGTACCCACGTCCGTCCGCCCCCGCCCCCCCGTCTCGAGGGCTCGCTCCACTCCGCGCCACGCAACGCAGGCCCAGCCCCGCTGCTCCTCGCAGACCCGATCGCTATACCTCTCCCCTCCCCCAAACTCCCCCCTCCTTCCACGCCCCGCACCCGCTCCCAACACCGCATGTACTTCTACCTCCGACTTGAACCCCTCACAGCAAAGATAAACGTCTAAGAAAGTGGCCATCGTTCTTAACCACGTCGGCTGCCCTCGGAGCAAAAGCAACGCCAACCAGGGAAAAAGAGTGGGCTCTTGGGGGAATCGAACCCCCGACCTCCTCTATTGGAACTCCACCTGCTGGCAGAGGGGATCAGACCCGAAAGAGAAATCATGCCTCTAGACCAAAGAGCCGCCGATGGTGGCGACGACGTCAAAACCGACAGCATTCGTGCACGTCGGCGATGATGTCGGCGCCACCATCGACGGTCTTGGTCCGGAGGATGATGTGCTCGACGGGAGCTACAAGCTGGCCGCTGCTAGAAGCGGTCCAGCACCGAGACTCGCCGAAGGGCGAGGTAACCTACAACAAGCCTTACACCTTGATGACGACGACGAACCAACGATCCAGCGGCATCCCGACGATCGCCATGACGAGCACGACGAAGCGACGAGGCGCCTTATCGAAAAATTGACCCAGTATCGCTTGCTAGGCGCCCTGGGATGGAGGGAGAGCCATTCTGTCCCGCCCTCCAGACCAGGCCGCTTGATGACGACAGAGACCACCAGAACTGGCGCCTCTGAGCAGACGGGCTGCGGCTACGCTCCGATGTTCCCCGCCGCCGGCCTAGGCCCCTCTTGAACATGGTTGACTTGAAACGGCGACGATTAAGAGACCGACAAGCGCCCCAACAGCGAGAGACCACGAGGACAGCCCGACAAGTGACGACAACGGCCTGGCTCCGGCGAACGAAAACGAATCTTGAAGCCGAACTTTGACGACGACCACGACAACGTCCGACACGATGGTCTTGACACGCAAAACCTTGACGATGACATGGCGATGGGATCGAGACCGTCGACACAGGACCTAGAGAGCCGACGAATTGGCAGGAGATTCACCGAAGGGCAGCTAGCCGCCAAAAACGGGGGATGCCCACGACCAGACCGACCGGACACCCGCCGACTATCCCAAATTCACGGACCTCCTGGCGACATCCGCAACCAGACCTGAGACCTCTACCGCACTCCCTGCCCAGGCGCCAGTCGCTACCACACAATCACGCCCACATCTACCCCTGACTGGATAGGGGCTATCTGACGTGGCCTGGGAGTGATCAACGGTACACGGACCACCCCTACGTCGCTGCCCCGGTAGACACACACTCGCACCATCCGACCTAGCCTCGACCCGCCTGATCACGGCTCCCCTCTCTTCCTGCCTCGAACCACTACGCCTTCTCCTACCCTCCCCGACGCTAAGCCAACACCCGCTCCTCGAACAAGAACACCATGGCCGAAGCTACACCCGCACAGACGACCAGCGCGAGGCAAATGACCATCACACCGAAATACATCCCGTGCGCGCCCCGCCATAGGAACAAATCGGCAGACGTGATCCGCCCGAAAGTGCCGTTTGAGGAGATTCCGTCGGTCACCGAGACACGCAACCTTGCCTACAAGATCCCGCCCGGATTTGTCAGATATGGTCTGCCCTCATCGTTCAAAATCAATGACCTCGAGGTTCAGATGAACGCTATCGGCACAATCGTCGAGCAGCTGGAGGTGGCATACCGAGAGAAGTACACGCCGGGCACTGTCACGTTCAACAAGCGCGGGAAGATCATCACGGCCGACATCCAATGGACCGGACCGACGCGATTCGACAGCGCCACGCCTCTACAAATCGAAGGTTACTCCCTCGCCTTCATGGGCATTGGCACCTTTACCCCGGACACGTACATAACGATCAAAGTCGCAAACTTGTCAGGATCGCACGAGGCGTCGCTCCCCTCCCTTGCCCGAGTCGTGTCACAGATCGTCCCCTACAGCCTTATTGACGTTTGGACGACCGACCGCGTCCTCCAGTCCCGAGTCACGCAGCGCACGTTCCGCTCATGGGGTGCCGAACTCTACCTCATCTTCAATCTGGCGAACACAGAAGAGGAAGGCATCCAGGAGCAGTATGAGGAACGCGCCGCGGCACTCCCGGGATGGGTCACCTACGGCGGCCAAGACTACAGACTCGAATACGCTTATCGCTTTGACTACTGCACGTTCTGCAAAGCTGCAGCCAACGACCTGACCGTGCGCCACACGTACAACAGGTGCGAGGCCCGACTCTGTAGCTTCTGCAAAGATCCCGGACACAAGCGAAAAGACTGCCCGAAGGCCAAGAGAGCACAGCGCGACATGGACGCCGATGATGCCAAAGCGGTCGAGACCGTTGCCCTGCAGAGGGCGGCCCTCGGATCGCGCTTGCACAACGAGAACCTCGCGAAGCGCAAACGCCTCCAGTACGGAGAAGCCGACGAACGCCCGGAGAACAGCAACTCCATGACTAACTGAACATGATCCGCGCAAACACCCCCCCCCCCCCCCACCGACCCGCCNCGCACCAC